TTCGCTTTGTAGATCCTTTACATATTAGTAAATATATATCGGAAATTCTATTTGACATAATCGAAAGTTCAAGCTTACTTTTATAAAATTGCTCTAACAGTTTGCAAAAAATAATAAGCCGGATCCAATTAGAAGAATAAGGAACAACGCAATCTGCAACATTAGCTGAAATAGATAATTTTAGCTTAGCTTATACTATTCGTTATACATTAAACGTGCATGTGTTAACGTATTATGCACATGCATATTCACAGCCGTAAAGGTCTTACGCGTCAACGCGACGCATGCGCAGAAAGTTTGTAGCTTTAGATTTTGGCTTAGCTTATACCGTTCGTTATACAATAAACGTGCATGCGTCAACGCATCATGCACAGAAAGTTTGTAGCTTTGAGGTCCGGATTATAGATCATTCCGGATTATGGTCGTTTGAATTAACGACTTTTGACTGTATTGTAAGCATTTTCTTCAGATTTTTCCGGTTTCATATCATGGTTAAAGGGCTGGATGCATGGTCGATTTTTCTAGTTTTCCTCATATGTAATGACAAGCCAGTTTCCCTTAGAAAGTTGTTCAAAATGACATCCTTCTTCAGGTCGATAGCCGGTATTCTTTGGCATATTCGAATAACCTAAACTTTCCTTCAGATTCTACAGTGACCTGTTATAAGCAGGACAATGATGATTCAGCTTCTATCCGTGTCGCAGGAGTATATTTAAAACATGTCAGAACCATGGGATTTATAACAAAATCAACCATGTTTTAATCTTGAAAACTTTATAATAAATTTTCCCAATTTTCTTACGTCGTGAGTTTCACTAACAAGATATTCATACTTTTGTTCAAGTTAACAAGCAGTTGAGCAATGCAATTTTGAATACTGGTAGTTTGACCCAAGTTTGAATCTTCAATATTCAGTATCTTGGGCTATCACACTGTCATGCCGCCTAAAGTTATTCCTGCTTGGCATAATAACAATCTCACTGGACCATGTTACCCACTTATATCAGCTGCATTCTCTCCAAAGACTCTCACTTTAACACAGATTTAAAAAGATCTTTCTTAAGGATACAAATAGGTTTGTCAATGTCTGGCAACAATTCATGAACTTTTCACGCAAAGCATTTACGACTCATTTCAGATACAACATTTTGAGAAGTGTTTCATCTACCTTTTTCATACATATGGCTGCATCATTCAGAAGAAAATGATGTTGTCATGTTTAATTTCATTAGGCCTGATGCAGAATAAAATACTGGAAGGTACTTTTCCGTTTCGCCGGCGCAAATATCGCCAAGCAGACTTTATTGGCGACAGCATACAGATAAAAAATATTAAAAAACTACTCTACAAAAATCTAATGCTCTCAGTAATTATCTACATTAATTTCAAGTTAAATCTTAATTTGGAACACAAGTTTAAATGCAAGAAATATTTCAATTCGTACGAATAGCTTACTCAGAAATTATGTAAAACTGTAGTGCTTTACTTCGCTAATGCATTCTCATTAAGAATTGATGAATTTAACCCTTGACTACCTTTTCTAAATTTTCGGCTTCGCGTAAGCGCTGTGATTGCATCCTAATTGACTTAATTACCGAAAATGGCCTTAGACATAAAACTGAACTATCTGATAAAAATTCTATGTAATTATATGCCAGTATTTAAAGAAACAATCAATCTGATAAGAAAAGGCTGCGACTTGTTTTGAAAATGAGGCATAAAAGGTTACCAGCGAGGATATTCCGTTTGGTATCGGTTGTACCATTATTGGCGACCTTTATCGCTTGCACCGACAAAACGGAAAAGTACCTACTGGAACTGCTGGTTTTTAATAAGTCTAAAATACTGAAACTGCTGGTTTTTCCGACATCTGTTATAAGAAGAAACAATTTCAATGATATCCTGGAACTGGAATTATCCTAGGGTACATATTAATTTGTCAACAGCGTTGGTTATTTCATAAATGGAAATGAGAATATTGCTTTTTCCATTCTAGCTTTGGATATTCTAAATTGCACTAATGTATACAGCATTGAATTATGTCCATTTTAAGGTAAATTTGCAGAACATCATTTTTTATAAGTTTACAAACACCTTTCCAGAAATGGACTTTCTTACAAGATTCAGATAATCAAGATATATTTAGTGATCATCAGTCTGAATCCAAAAAACAGTGCAACTCTTCCTTGTGATCAAAGTGACTATTTTAGAAGAAAAGATAAAACAGGAAAATGGAAGAAAGAACCCTTTCGAATTCAAAGATGCATGGCGTCCCATAATATCATAAAAAATTGCCTGGCAATACACATATATCTAAAGATGTGGCTTTATCCATCGATGCTTGGAAGCTAATATTTCATGGCACAATGATTGTGAAATGCTCTAATATTTATGTAAAAAATACTTAGGGAAATTTTAAAGAGATGCAAAACCTATGGAGAAAGAAGTGTTTCTTGCTTTTTTAGGACTTATCTAAATCTCATTCCCATTATCTATCCTCCCATGTAAATGTTAGAGAATTATGGGCGACTGATGGAACAGGATTGAATATTTTTCGTAAAACAATGAACATTCATTCGTGCCTTACGATTTGATGATGTCGGAACACGAGATGGTAGAAGAAAGAGTGATAAATTAGCCCCAATAAGAGATTTGTTTTAAAATTTTGTCAAATTATATCATGTAGGGGAATATGTGACTTTGGATGAAAAGCTAGAACCTTTTCAAGGATGATGCTCCTTTCTTAAGTATATGCCTAAGAAACTTGTAAGATATGGTATAAAGATATTTACTGTGGTTAATTTTAGAACCTTCTATACTTTCAACATGGAAATTTACTCAGGTCAGTAGCCAGATGAGCCATACAACAGTTCTTGTGAAAAAGCAAAGTCAACAGTTCCTGTGAAAAAGTAAAGCACATCTTAGTTCCATTATACCATTCTGAAAGCAACGTTAGCACAGACAGCTGGTATACCAGTTTATAAATTGGCTAATTTCTTACAGAAAAATAAAATTTCTATCGTTGGAATAATATGCAGGGATGAAGAAGATTAGTCCACACCTGATTTTGTGTCAAATAAGAATAGAGAACAGCATTCAACCCTCTTCGGGTTTCAAAAGGATACAATGCTACTATCTTATATGGCTAAAAAGAACAAATGTCAAATATGCACAATAATGACCATATTAATGAAAGCACAGGAGATTTGAAAAAATCTGAAACAATTACGTTTTATAACACGACCAAAGGTTTGGTTTATTGAGATTATGGCAAAGTTGAATTATTGAGATTATGGGCTATCTGCCTAAAGGGAAGGATGCCTTCATGGAGGACTTTCTAAAGGAACTGGCTCATATACACATTACACATGGGGAAAGCCACAAAAACGTCCCATGCAGCCAGCCCGTTCGTAGGATTCGAACCTCGGACCGAACTACCAGTGTTCAGTGACTTTACCGCTCAGCTGCTGGTGGACCCCATGATAAAAGGAGCAGTTGATATAGTCCACAAAATGGGTGGCACTTATTCTGTGGCCAGAATATCAAACCGATGGCCTATGAGCATATTTTTTTCGTTCTTAATTATTGCCGGCATAAATTCAAAGATCTTGCTTTTATCTACTAAAACTCCACCAGAGAAGTTCAGGAATAAGAGGCACTTCTGATTTGGCCTTTGCACCTTTAGATCATCATTTAAAATCACGACGGAAACAGAAAGAATACAACGAAGATTCTCAAACAAAGAAAAGAAAATTATGTTACCAGAGATGTTACATATGCTCAAGGGAAAAAGACAGAAAATCAAAAACTATATGTGTGAAATGTAACAAAAAATATATGTCAAAAACACTGTGAAATAGAAACTTCATTCAAACTACAAAATATCTAATTTTTCTTGAGCCTAATTGATTTGAAAATTAATTATATAACTCGTTGTCTATGTAATAATTCTGCATAATTTGGATTATAATTGCATTCAAAAATAAAAAACACAAATTTCTCCCAGAAATCAATGATTCCTAGGCATATGAAGAAAACATAAGTCCTTTTGATTTATTTGTTATTAATTTTAAAATTAACATTATTTTTAAGCAATTTTATATAATAAATGTTATAATTAATATAGAATGCATCATTTTACTGCGACGCGCATTCTCGTGTTACGTAATACACCGCGCGTCCTCCAGGGTTAACTATACACCGTTAAATGTCATGGTTAACCTATTTACTTCTACATGCTATACATCTTATAACTTGACTGTACACCGCTAAAATCATCGCTTCCGTATGTTAAATATCTTGCAACGTATCTATAAACCGCTAAATTAATGGCCGATTAGGCGTTGGTGAGCTTGTCGTATGAATACGCACTAGCGTCAACGGATCCTTTAAAATTATTTCATGTAATTTTGTTAAGAATAGATTATAGATCTTATAATTAAAATCTCATTCATAAAGTTTACTTTTAATTAATGGACAGAGCACTATTTCAATGAAAATCATAAGTGTACGAACACTTTTGGGAGACACTGAACATACACACAATCACTCTAAAAATTTGTTTCTCCCTTTAAGAACTCGGATAGAGTTGTACTTTATTAAATTTGTTCACAGCGATAAATATTCATCTGTTGGGGAAGAAAATCCATATTTCCATCAGCGGAAAACTGAAATCCATTCTTTTTTTTAGGAACTTTTCCGTAAAATTTGTTTTAGCAAATTGTTTGTATCGTTCTCATAAATTTATACGAAACATTTTTCGATTTCGCTGATCAAACAGGATTTCCCATAATTTCAACTGTTCTAGGGTGCATACTAAATTCATCGGAGGTTCAAAAGTCATTAACAAATCTAAAAAAGGAATTTCCTATAAATGGAAAAAATCTCTATTCTTTAGAATAAGTAAATAATAAAACATATCAAAATCAATAAAAGCATTCATTCTCATTCTTCAACAAAATTAAGATCTCGATCAACCTGTAACAATTTAAATTACTCACTCATTGAGATTACACCGAAATATGTGTAAAGGAAAGAAACTATTATATGCTATACTGTAAACGACTTACTAATGAGCTATTTTTTAATACAATTAAATATATCAAGAATTTTTCTTCAATGAAATTAAATTCCTTCCTTCACAAACACAGAATCACCACAATCTACGGGGTTTCCAATATAGAATAAAGGTGTGGAAGATAAATGACTTAGAAAATAAACAGTGTGGCTTCACGCATAGCAAAGGAATTCAAAAATATATTTTCAAACTGAATATCTAAAAGTACTTTATTAATCTATATAAAGCAAGAATGAGAAGTTGCAATGGTTCATGTTTTCAATTCATTCGCTGCGATTGCTCTGTCATTTCAATAAAGCAGTCGGAATAAAATAAGATTTTTTTTTATGATTGATTAAAATTTATAGGAGGTAGAAATTACTTTCCCTTTATGTATTATTTAATACATTGGAAATTATAAACAGGAAAACAGGATTCTTCATTCTACAGTAGTTAAAAAACAAAATTAAAAAAAAAAAAAACAGAAGAAGCAAAAAGCTAATATAATCAAAGAAATGTTTGGCAACCGTACTTTCGGCAGTATTTATGCCGACAAGAGTTGTAATCTTAGAAAAGGAAAGTGTTCTGAACTAAAATGACTGCTTTTGAAGGTACAATATTTAAAATAATTAAAAAATTGTAATAAGATGTCATCTATATGAATATTTAATTTGAGCATAAGGTTTCGGAAGTAAATAGACGATGACTCCAAATTTTTGTGATTTATACCTAAAGTTCTTTTTATTGAGGCGAATGACTATTTTACAACATTCTTAAAAATCCTGCATTTCATATACAGAGGTCATTTAGTAAATGTCATACATCCTTGTGTACTTAAGTATGAATGAAAAGGACTTTCTTTAATAATTTTTACATTAATTTGTAATTAATATTTATTCACATAATTAAAATTCTAATGAAGTCTTATTTTTTTATAAGATTTGTTAGTAAGATCGTTTTTTACTGATCTTTATATTGAAATGCATCTCATTAGATGGGAAATGCAATGACGTATAATTAATGGAAAGCAATCCAAAGTTAGTTTGTTCTGCATTTCAATAGAAATAGAATTATCAATATTGATAGCTTGCAAAGTGCGAAACATAAATTGCTTTTGCAAAATTTGCATGCCATTTTATAGTCTTAGGAGCATTTACTTTTATAGCTTTTATCATAAAGATGTATTTTTCTTTCTGCTTGTTCAGATTTTTAGGTATTTATACTTCATTTGTAAGCATTTAAGTTTCATCCGTTTTCTTGGATATCCAGGTGCATGATGCTTCATAAAACGTAATATTCTAGAATGGTTTATTAATAAAAAAACTTTAATTATACATTTAAAACCATTGTTTAACATGATTATACCATCATTTTTACCAATTAAAATTCAAAAACTATTTTTCAGAAAATTTCGTTTTTATTTGCAAAATTTTATTAATTCAGTGTAGTGCAGATTCATATAAACAGATTTTATTTTATTCATTATTTCATTATGTAACTTATAATCATATTAGACCAAAGTTACATAAGGGACAAGTTAGTAGTTTTTTTTTGAAAAGATTGCCAACTATTAATATTTATTGTAGCTTGGCAAATATTATCAATTTTTTAAAATACGAATTTGATATGTTAAATAAGGATTAAAGGTTACATAAAATATTATACATACTATATTACTGTTGTTCTTCCCATATGTGCAGCATTATGTTTTGTTTAAAAAAAGCATCAATATTACAAAATTTGGTACTCTTCTGTTATCGAGACTGAGTTAAAAAATGTATGCCCGGGTATATACATACATATGTCCTTATGTATATACACTGACTACCAATAAGTATTTGGACGCCTATGCAAATGACAATATCTGCGGTCTTAAGGTATGTTACGGACTCCGCCGGTATATATCGTGTAGGAAACAGCATCGGCTTTAGTCGCATGCAAGATGCCCCGCAGTTCGGAGCTCTCTGATTTCGAGAAAGATATAATTATCGGGTATCACAAATGTGGCTGATCCCTAAGGAACATATCTAACGATCTGAAGTACCCAAAATCGACAGTGGCCTATGTGATTAAGAAGTGGAAGGTGAGCGGTGATTGTCGGAATGTGTTCTGAGTCGGCAGACCAATGAAACTGGGAGATAGAGACCGACGAGTGCTGTCCAGAGAAATTCAGAAGAACCACACCCAACCGATGGCCCTCATCCGCGAGGAGTTTCAACAGGCATCCGGGAGTATTGTTTCAACGAGTACCATCCGTAAGAAGTACATCTGCTTGGTTTTCATGGTCGTGCTGCTGCCCATAAGCCTTTGATCACAAAGTCCAACCGCGCTGCTCAGTTAATGTGGGGCAAAGCACATCGAAATTGGACCATAGATCAGTGGCAACGGGTTCTTTAGAGTGGCGAATCAAGGTTCACCCTTTACCGTTCGGATGGCAGGGTCTGGCGTGTACCTGGAGAACGTCTCCTGCCAGAATGCATTGTGCCAACAGTCAAGTTCGGCGGAGATGGAATTATGGTCTGGGGGTGTTTCTCCTGGTATGGGCTGGGACCCTTGGTCCCCATTCATGGTAAGCTCAACTCCGATGCCTACTGCACTATTTTGGATGACAATGTGCTTCCTACGTTGTGGCAGTTTTACGGATTGGACCCCTGTTACTTTTAGGACGACAATGCCAGTTGTTATGTTTCGACGTTAACCAAGGCTTGGTATGGTGCCAATGGAGTTCATCGAACGGACTGGCCTGCCCAGATCGAGACCTGAACCCTATCGAGAACCTCTGGGACGAGTTGCATCGCCGAATTCAGGTGTGCACTACCCGTGCAAAATGAGTGAAGGAACTTCTATGTCTTCTCCAAGCCGAGTGGAAGAAAATACCACTAGCTGTCATAGAAAGACTTGTGGAAAGTATGCCCTGGAGGGTCCACGCTGTAATTACCTCGCATGGAGGTTCTACCAACTATTGATTTCGAATAAAGTTAGTTTTTCTTTCCTATCACAGGTGTCCAAATACTTATTGGTAGTCAGTGTATATGCATATATGAACACATACATACATTTTTTAATCTTATCCCAGTGACGGAAGAGTACTGCAAATTCTCTGGAAACTTATAATAAGGTTGCTTTTTTCTTTTAAAATTGTATGTTGTCTTGTTCTCTTTCAATGAAATATACCGTTTGAATATTTAGAAATGCAGCATCTGTTAAATAATTTCCGGAAATTTTGAGAACAATTAATTAATGAACTTTTACATTTTTGTAGTTAAAATGCTGTGAAAAAGTAAATATTTCGGTACTACTAGATTTTCATTGCTCCCATTATTATTAAAACGTGTGTCAAGATTAATGCCAAATTTAAACTACTTATATACAATTTGTGGCTGCCATATTTCTATGATTGCTTTGAATATAGCATCAAAAGGTGTATCTTTCCCACAGGATTTCCACCATATGAATTCCAATAGATACGACTCTAGATGATGTCAAGCCGTACCTCTTTGCTTTTTATTTCACCGTTTAACAGAGCCCCACAATCCTTTCGCATTTTGGGTGTGAACGCCCGTTGCTGGATCAACAAAATTAAACTTGGGATTCATAGTTGAATGGCAGGAACCAGCTTTTTCAAGCTCTTCTGTTTTATAGACTCACCAATATTCTGAATATATTATCGATCCTTCCACTACGTGGTCTACAGTCATTGATATTAGTATGCCTGCTTCTTGATTTGGAACCTGAACAAGAAAGCACTCGGTACTTTCACAGCATAACTTGCCAAATTTGTGGAAGTACCCGTACCATTTTTTTACATAAATGTTTAAACTGAGAAAAGATAATTATGGTATCGCACGGTTCCACAGATTCAACAAACAGAAGTTAAACTGAAAAAATTCTATTATTATTCTACACGGTTATATAATTTGGCAGTTTATCGTGAAAAATCATGTGGTACAGTAAAAAGTGTGTAATCCGGACGTCCATTATCCGGAATAATCTATAGTTCAGACCTCAAAGCCACAAACTTTTTTTTTTTTTTTGGTATGCTTTACGCATGCGCGTTTAATGTTTACATATGCGCGTTTAGCACAAAAAACGAAGCAACTTAAACAACTTACATTGAAAGAAATGTTTAATATAATAAAGTAAACAAATAAATATATTTTTTTAAAATTTTGATACCCTTTAGATCATAATTGATCTTTATTTCATAAATTACGGTTTCATATTTTTAATTGTATAATTTCTGCATGCCATCTTACCAGATTTAAATTGATGATCTATTATCCAGAAAAATCCTTGCTTAATCCGGAATCGCCAAAGTCCCGACTAGTCCGCATTACGGACTTTGTACTGTACTAATATTTGTATGCTTCTAGGTATATTTTAGGTTAAATTAGTAAAATTCCATTGATATAGTATGAAGTCCGACATCCGGATTCCCAATAACCACCAATCAAAAAGTAATAAAATCTACCCCCCCCCACAAAGTCTAAGAAGGGAGAATATAATAACAAAAGGAGACAGATGTGCCAATAAATGCAATTTTAAATACTTGCTGGCTAGGGAATCTCATCGTAGCCAATGATAATGAATTGATAGATATATCGATGTTGGCTAGAATCATACCTTAGGCCCTTGAGTGGTTGTTTGGATGAATGCTGTGTAGTTTGACACCTAGAGATCTTAAATTGTATTATGCAATGCCTCTCCTAAATTCTAAAAATTCAACCATTCCTAATTTTTGGCATCCCTAAATTCTGACACTGAGTTGATGCCTCAAACGGATTTCAACCAGTATAATTTTTCTATTTGACCCAAACAATAAGTGAAGTTCCAGTGTTGCCACATCTACATATTATCTTACTAGATTTAAAATTATGATCTTAAATCCAGAATTGTGGACTCCCAGTGTGTTCGGATCTTGGACTTTGTACTGTATTCTGGAGGATACTTTTTCATTGTTTAATTTTATCATTTCTTTATTTTTATCAAAATAGTACTGAACACACATGATCAAATTAAGTGGCGGCTACTGTATTCTTGTTTAACCTTGTTAAAAATCCTTGTAAAATCTTGTTGTATTTTTATCAAATTATTTACTTCCCAAGAAATCTTGAAACTGTTTCTTCAAAACTTTTTACTTTATACTCAAATGTCTCTTTTTCAGAAATGGGTGTTCTTCCTGAAATTGCTCAGGCAGTTGAAGAAATGGATTGGAAGTAATTTGTTTATCTGCTTTTATGTATATAACATGTTTGTTTCTCATCAAAAAGTGTTTTTAATAATTTAATTTAAATAAATTTGAGTTTTCTGGGGAATTTCCTTCACATTTCACATCTGTAATCAGTTTTAAAGTCATTTTCAATAATCAATAATTAGTGATTCTTTACATTTATACAATGTTCATATTTTACATTATAAAGGAAGTTGGTTTATTTGATTATGGCAAAGCGTGCTAGGGCTATCTGCATAAGAAGAGGAACACCTTTACGAACTTTTTAAAGGAAACTGCCTTGTATACAGGTTACATATGTGGAAAATCATGGAAATGCTCACACAGCCACCCCGTTTGCCTGGAATCAGACCCAGGTTGAACTACCAGTATTCAGTAATTTTACTACTCGGCCGCTGGTGGGCACTATAAAGAAGGAATTGAATTTTTGTTTCCATATGTTTTAGATTTTCTTTGACGTTCTGGGTCACTTCGGCAATGGGTAAATAAAAAACCATTGTGTACCTTAGCTTCTGAAGCATTACATAAGCCCCGTTCACATGCAACGCTCCTTCACATAGCTGCCGTTAGCAAGAAGAGAAAAAGGAGACATAAAAGAATTTCGTCTTTCGGACCCGTTCAGAAGACCACCCTCTTCCTTCCCCTTTACACCTAAGTCTCTGTGAACAATCACGTCTCTGAATTGGCAGATTTCTAATACTGTTTACACATTTTTAACATTGTTTATTGTAGTTAATTTTGTAATCTGTACTTTTGCAACTGGTACCTGAACTTTCGTAATGGTTCCTGAAAAATACAGTCAAAAGTCGTTAATCCGGACTCGTCGGGACTTCGGCGATTCCGGATTATAGATCATCAGTTTAAATCTCGTAAGATGGCATGCAGAAATTATAAAATTAAAAATATGAAACCGTAATTTATGAAATAAAGAACAATTATGATCTAAAGGGTATCAAAATTTGCAAAAAGAAAAGCTTAATATTATTTGTTTACTTTACTTTATTAAACATTTCTTTCAATGTAAGTTGTTTAAGTTTTGCTTCGTTTCATGTGATAATACTTTCTCTTTAATTCTATTAAACAGACATAATTTCTTGTTCAGTTACAAAGTTCCGCCGTTCAAGTCCTATAATTGCTGTGTCAAGAATACCGACTAATTTGTCAATCGAAATTTTTTTTCGTTTTCAATAACCTCTGTCACTTTTCTTCGACTATCGGAAGCGAATTATAATGACGAGGAACTTGTTTTAAATCATATCAAAGACGGAGCATGCATCGAAGATGAAATACTACATTTAGTAAGGAATTATAAGCCAAATAAAATAAAAACATCTGCCTGAAGATAAGGATAGTGCTGACAGATCAACTTCCAATTCATTGTGCGCCGAGGCATTCCGCCCCGTCCGAACAGCGTGAAATTGATAAACAGATTTCGGATTTCAAAACATACTTTCGCTTTAGATCCTTTACATATTAGCAAATATATATCGGAAATTCTATTTGATATAATCGAAAGTTTAAAAGCTTACTTTTATAAAATTGCTCTTACAGTCTGCAAAAAATAATAAGCCGGATCAATTCGAAAATTAAGGAACAACGCAATCATCAACATTAACTGAAATAGATAATTATTTAGCTTATACGTCCATTATACATAAAATGCGCGCGTGAAAACGTATTCTGCACTTGCGCACACTCATATGCACAGTCGTAAAAGGTCTTACGCGCACGCGTGAACGCCTCTGCGCATGTGTCAACGCGGCGCATGCGCAGAAAGTTTTTAGTTTTGATGTCCGGATTATAGATCATTCCGAATTATGGGTGTCCGAATTAACGACTTTTGACTGTATATGCTTTTAAATTATTATTATTATTATTATTTTGTAAGCTGTTATTTAGTTCACTCTTGGTGCTTGTTGCTATGGTTAAAAGATAGTCATGGATTTTTAAACTGCTTCCTGATAAGATATAGAACTCAAACTTTGTACACTGGTTGTGGATGTGGTGTCACGCTTTTGATTTTTAGAGGATTAGATTTTTTTTCAAATTTAAAGTTGAAACGACTTTTTGCAAATATTAACAAATAAACTGAGAATCTCAGAATATTATAGTTTGCACCATAACACACTGTGGAGGAAAAAAAAATAACTGAAATTTTTAGCGTAATTTTTTAAAAAATATTTTGGGAGAATTTTTAAAAATCGTTCATGTTTTTAGACTTTTTGACGCCCATTAATTTTAAATTTTCATATCTAAAAATATATCGGTTACAAACTTCCGACATTTTCACAGCTTATAAAACAAACTTTTTGCATTTAAAAAAATGATAAAGGAAATTAATTGGATGGATTGTTTACTTTTTTGAAAGATATGCAATGAAGCAGAATGGGAAATATTGATTCTTCTTGGGCATCAATTCGAAACATGGGTTTCAAAGTAATAATCTCATTATACCACACTATTTTTATGACATTATTTATGGTATATAAGTTGTTATTGTTGCCAGTTGTTAGTTCAGCGTGAGATTGGAGATATTTCTGAGTTAACTTTCTCTTAAGATGTGCTTTGCATTCCGTTGTGTTTAACGTTCTTATTAGATTGAAGCATAACTACTGATTATACTTAGTGATATTCTAAACACTTGTACGAGTATTTCTGTGGAAAATTCCATAACTTTGAAGTGTTTATATTGATAAAATAAATTTAATTAAGCTATCATTGGATTTGAGTGCAATGTCAATCATTTATGAACTATTATCAGTCTATTACAAACCCGTATGCACGCAACAATATTATAATTAATTAATGTATTAAAATTGTTTTGAACGTGGTTTACAAAACAAAAACAGGTAAAGAAAAATTCTTTTTATGAGTTTTTGCAATTTTTCTGGCCACATAAGGTTTTAAAAAAAGGTTTGTAATTTATGTTTATATTTACTAATTGAATAAATAGCACTAGGTTTGATTTATATACGTATGTGTGTATTGAAATTCAGTAATAAAATTTTAAAGATTTGAAATGATTAAATGTCTATTTAGACAGTTTGTATTCTTTAAATTTCAAATGCAAACTGAGAAACCTTTGGCATTTTTTTCAATAAATCTTTTTACTTAAATCCTAAAACATATACAGGTGTGGACTAAATTTTTTATTATTTTTACTGCTTATTTAAAATTATATACTTTATAGAAACAAGGATGGGTTTTGCAAAATACTGAAAGGAAAAATTATTTGAAATGAAAGTGTGACTGAGATCACATTTTTTTAAAGATTTTAGATAAAAGTGTATTTTTATTTTTTCTCAGAAACTAATTCATTAATTGCAAAATCATTGCTTGAAATTATTAAGAACAATCTAATAAATACAATAAAAAAACTGGGGGAGACATTGAAAATTGTAGGAGAAGAAAAACATTTTAATTGTAAAATTTTTCTTCAAAAATTTAAATTAAAAAAATTACTAGCAAAAACTTTTTTCAGCTTAAAGTTATTTTATTTCACAAAACCATTTAATAATATTCATAAAAAGTAGATGAAAATGCTTAAAATTTTTAAAAAAAAAATCATTCAAAATGTACCAAGTCCCTTGTCGTGTTGAAGCCGATATACACTTGTCTTAACTTTAGTTTTAATTTGAACGATATTTCTGGAATACCTAGCATCAGATAACCTTGTCTGCATTTGTCTATAATTTCCGTACAGTTGTACAGTTCTGTCTAATTTTGAGGGGTATGCTATCACATCCCCAGACATCTATCAGCGCGATTGTTTCGCTGACAGTCCAGCGAGCAGTAACTAAAATTAAGTGAACCACGCAGTATAGTACGGGAAATCTCCCCATTTGCCCTGCTTCTGAGAGGTAAGGAACATTCAACCAAGTTCTACCTCCAATTCGGCGAGGCAGTTAATGCTTGTCCCATGTAAACGGGACACGTTGGAAGAACCGGTTTTCGCTACCGCTCGAATCTGCTCTTGTGAACGGGGGCTATAGTCATTGATGTCTGTGTACTCAGAATGTAAAGCTCTTAATTCTTGCATTGTTTTCAATAATGATAATTTGTACACAGCATTTAGATCTGTCTTATAGAATAAGGTCAAAAGACCTTGGGGCCATTTATGGAAAATCCTGTCATCTGATTCATAATAACTGATACAATGGTTGGGAATTTTTTTTATTAAAAATTTGCTAGCATCATGATTCTCATTTTGAATGACTACGTTTAGGCTGGACTTCCATGATTATCAGCAGCCTATGTATGAAACATCATAGTTTTAAGATGTTCAAATTTTCATGAAGTTTATAGACCACCTGCACGTATTAGGAAAATTCTTTGGATTTATGAATATATTTGTATCCATTTAATTGTGCTTTTTTTACATATTTTTCATCAGGAAAATATTTTAAAGTATTAATTAAATCTCGCTCTCTTAGATAAAATTCTTCTTCAGTAATGGATTTAGCTTTCAGTAAATTTAATAATTGTTTATAAAAGTTATAATGTCGTCTATGTTGTTCTTTTCTTTCTGAAATATTGTTACTTTCTCGAATGATTTCAAGAACTCCTGTACTTACACTTAAAGCAGTAAGAGGTATATTTGCAAAAGCTGATAAACCTGATGCACTTTAAACAAATATACTGATTGATAATAATATGTTTATCTTTTTAAATTTTTTATAACTTTTTCTGTACACATATTCATTTTTCTCTAAATATTCTTCCGTAATTATTGGATCAAAATTCCTTCGGTATCTTATTTTGGGATTTTTTAAATCAAGCATTAAGAAACTATCAGGAAATATATGTTTTTTTAATTCTTCTTTTGAGATATAGCCGTCAACATCTCTTATTATTTGTTGAATTTTTGTAGATTGTGTATTAAAAAATATAAATTAATTGCAATTTTTCCTAATAGTGATAGGAGATGAATAAAAGTCGTGCAATATGTAAATAATAGACGCATTTTTCTTTCTTCCTCCAATAAAC